GTGTGGGGGACCTTGGCCGGCGCCCGTCCCCCACTGGCGAAGTGAAAGAGGAAGAGCAGAGCGCCCTTCCCCTCGCTGGACCATCTCCAGCCTGGGTCGCGCCGCGGCGGCGCTGCCGGGGAGGCGCGGAGTCGCGGGAAACCCGGCCTGACGCTGGCGCCGCTGCCCTGCGGGGACCCGCCGCGGCGCCCCTCTCTCCCCGACCCTCCTCCCTGTGACCCCCACCCGAGAGAAGTCAGGTCGTTTGGAATGACAAAAGAAGTGTGGCTCAGAAATGTTTTCATTGTGCCGGGTGGTAAAAGGTGTCTCACCCGGGGCGGCGGGCCCGGGAGGGACATGGGCCGGAGGGGGAGGCCCGCGGCCACCCGGCGTGCAGCAGCCCCGGGGACACCCGGACCCTCCGGAGCCCTCCCCACCCCCACCGTCGCCTCCGGCCGCTCGGGACGGCGGGGACGCTCTCGGGTGGCCCCGCCCGCCCCCGCGCGCGTCTCCAGTCCTCTCCGCCCCGCCTGGCTCGCTGCGAGCTTTGCCCATTTCCCAGGACCCGGCAGAGGAGGCCGCATTGAGGGCACGCCGGCCCCCTCCTGCCTTCTGGTCCTGGCACTCCTGGTCACCCTCAGTGCAGGCGACGCAGCTGCAGCCCAGAGGAGACACTTGGGTGAGTTGGCCGAACAGCTCCAGAAGAGTGGATAGGGGCCAAGATGGGCGGAGGGAGGGGTAGGGAGGACAGGCTCCATTCCTGCCTCCTTCACCAAAGGCGAGAGAGACCAGCAGGTGATAGAGATTAGGGAGGCCGGCAAGGGAGATAGGGGCCCCTACATTCTAGGAGGCAACTTGTGCCAAAAGGGTCACAGCCTCTGAACACTGATCTGCCCCCAACCTGAGGACACAGGGGCTCTTGGTGACATTTTGTGGAAAAGGAGGCCTTAGGGACACTTCACTTTAGTGCCTTTGCTTTGGGCCCAGACAGAGGCCCAGACTCGAATCCTCTGCTACACGGTGTCCTTCTTGGGTGGTTCTGTGACTTGACCTAGCCTTAATTTCCCCACCTATGAAAGGGGAGTATAATGCTACCTCCCAGGCCCTGTGAGGATGATACCAAAAGATACTGCCAAGTGCTGAGCACAAAGCCTGTGGACAGGTGGATCCCTGCTACCTTAGCAGAGAAGAATCTCCACTTTGGGCGGTGCAGGGGGCACTCCCTGCTGGGTGAGAAGATGGCCTCCTTGCCCAGGAGTGGCCTGGGGAATGGACACTGGTAAAAGCCACCAGCAAGGATGCCCCAGGCAACCCTTTGGGGGGGGGGGGTGTATGGTGGGGGGAACCCTGGTTGTTGGCTGTCTGGGTCTTGGCACAGGATGCACAATATAGCAAGGACAGTTGCAGCTTTCCTGTGGACACCCCCTCACCAGTCCTTCTTAAATGTGACTTTTCACCCCCAGACATCTCTACTTCAGAAAACTGAGAGCCACTGTCAAAATAGACACCTGCAAACTCTCCACCACAGAGCAGAATTCCCATTGTGCGGATGGAAACAGCCAGATTTCTGAGGGTTAAGTGATGTGTACAGGTAATGGAGATACCTTACTCTTCCTTGTGCTTAATGCTGTGAGTGTTCTCTTAAGCAAAGATAGGCATGCCTCCCTCTGGGCAAACCAAGGCGCAGCTGGTGTCAGACTTTTCAGTGCTGACTGGGTGGGGCACTCTGCAGAGATAACCACACCCAAGTTCCCCCTTCTTGGGAGGAAGAAATGCCCCCACCAAAGCAGAAAACAGACTTGGGGGAGCCACTCTCAACCTCTAGCGGAGATGGACCTCAGGCTTTGGAACAAAGATCTTGACTTTGAGAGACAAGGTCCTTGGGGATCTTGAGCAAGAGAAGGCTCATTTGGCAGTTCCCCAACACTCCGCCCCGAAGTCTTAAAACCTGCCCGAAAAGCTATTTGCTGTGCTTGGGCCTGCCGCTTCTCCAGTAAGCCACAACCCGGCAGTTGTGTCAAGAAGTTTAAGTTTGAAAGTAAGGACATTCCTTCCTTGGAACAAGCCACACACAGTGGCTGCCATTTGGACAACCCGTTCACAGCTATGTCCCCAGATCCCACAGGCCGCTGCCACACCGTGGGTGCTGGAGAAGGGCGGGGCACCAAGACCATGCCAGGGTTGTCTGACTCAGGGAGAAAGACAAGTACCTCTGCTCACCCACCTCTGCCTGGAGAGCCTCCCTTCCCACCCTCGCGCCCCACTGATGTGCTCTCTTCTTGACTTCCTTTCCCTCCCCCCTCCCCCCTAACCTGTACAGAACAGTGATATCAGCCTGGAAATACCCTGCCACTGAGAAGGTCTCTCTCTGCCCTCACCATCTGCATTGCGCACACAGGATGTCCCTATCTGTGGTCATCAGCACCCGCTCCCCAGACCCATCCTTCCACTCTAAAGCCTTTGGTTTCCTGGCCCTCCTGAGACCAACTCCCAGGAGACTGGACACCAGACAGGCTGAGGCCTGTGGGGGAGGCCACTGTGCTTTTACACATAAATGCGCAAGCTCATGGTTTGATTGGGCTTAGGTGGGTAGTTGCCAAGCCCCGTGGGGGCTCCACCCCCATGCCACTTGGAGAGAGGCTGTGTGAGGACTGAGCACATGAACCAGCTTGGCCTCAGCCAGGGGAACCAAAGGGCAGCAGGTGGTGAGTCTTTCTGGACATCTCCTGTTCTAGTTAAGTGTTATGTCGACCTCCCCTGGGGACGTTAGCCTCTGTCCTGGGCCGGTCTCTCAGGGGGCCATTGCAGGTAGAATCGGGATAAGATGAAATCTAATGGATCCTGAATGGCTGGGGACCTCAGCAAGCAAAACAGAAGCTAGACGCCACCAGGGGTCAGGACACTGGTCAATGCAAAGCCTGGCAGAGGGTCCTGTGGCGTGGTTAGGAAGGGCTTCTTGGGACGTGGAGGGTTGCCAACCTAGGGTACACAGGTACACCCCAGGGCTGAGAAATTCCAGCCAGATTCAGTGGGGGGTGATATTAAGTTTTTTTTTTTCCCCATTTGGTCTTCATAGCAACCCTGAGGTAAGTACTGTTATTATCCTCATTGTACAGATAAGATCTAAATCAGGGTTCAGAGAAGCTAAGTGTTCTTTCGTTATGACAGAGCAAGGATTTTAACTCAGATGCACTGGATGCCAAAGCCGGTCTTAACACTTTTCCATATCCTAAGTGTGTCTGGCAAAGGAAAATAGGGAGCAAGCTCATGAGGTGAGAAACCGTGTAGAGCAGAGCCAGGACAGTAACGTGTCTGGAGCGCAAAGGTTTGTGCACAAAGAGGTGAGAGCAGAGTCTGGAGAGGACAACAGAGAACTTATAAGCCTCATAAGCCACAGTCAGGAATGTGGACTTGGTCTTGAGGGTGGTAAGGGGGTTGTAACCTTCCCCCCACAATTTGACTCAGAAGAATAATGTGTTTTCTCTGCTTACAGTTAGAAAGGTAGGTGCAGGTAGGGAAGAGAAAGCAGAGAAGTGAATGTGACCTACTCTAGAACATGCTTCTCTGTATTCTAATCATTATGCATACAGAGAAAACTATTCCTTTAGTATGACAAAGCCAGGGGCTGTTTGAAGCTAAAAGCAGCCAACCTAGGGTGCACAGGTACACCCTGGGGCTGAGAAATTCCAGCCAACATGTACCTAGATTCACTGGGGGGTGAAGAACAAGAGCTGGTTCAGAGAGTGATTAGAAATCTCTCCTGTCTCACCCGCTGCTCCCCTCAGCCGTATATTTCAGTGGATCCGCCTGTTCTGCTCCCCACTCTGCGTCTGGTGAATCCTGTCACGTTCCCTCACACCTCTGGCCTACACCCCAGTTCTTGCATGCACAAATAATTGAAATAAATCTTTTAAAATAATAGCAGAAACTCTGGGACTGCTCCAGTGATCTCACTAGTAGCATGAGGACAATGAACACACAAAGAGAAAAGTACAATCATGAGGCTCCCTGAGGAACAAAGTGGAGGCCTGGCAGCGCCCCCATTTATCTTTTATGTGATGTACATTTGAGCCAGGGTGAGTCAAATTTTATGCTGCGGATGTTTGCAAGCTGAGTACTGTAACCACAAAGGGATTTGCTATGGGAAGTAACTGCTAATGAAAAGTTCCAAGATGTTCAGGCTCTAGCTGAGCCTCCAGGAATGACACCTGGAACACGGCAAAATGAACCCACTGTTGGAACCACCACCTCTGGCACCTGTCAGGAGAGTGGGGACTCCGGAGGCCGCTATCTTGAACTATTGTGTTCAAGAGTACAGTGCTTTATTATTTTTTAAAGATTTACTTATTTATGCGTATAAGAACTGGGGTACAAACCAGAGGTGCATGGGGTGAGAGATTTCACCAGAGACAGAGTGGGGAGCAGAACAGGCAGATGGGCTGAAGTACACTGTTGAGGGGAGCAGCGGGCCAGACAGGAGAGGTCTGCCATGCCATGGGTCACCTCCCTGATGGGGGATTGAACTCGTGCTGCATTTGGCCGTGGATAGCTTCATAGTACTGTGCTTTAACCCACTGTGCCACCAGGGAGGGCCCATGCAGGACTTTGTGATCCAAAGACCAGAAAGCCATAGTGAAAACTGTCAGCCTCCAAAAGCTGATGAATGAACATGGAACTGACTTCAGAAAGATCACACACCTCCTTGATCATACTTGCCAGGAGAAAACAAAGCAGGGGAAAGAGACCTTCAGTGGACTTCCACCTTCCACGTAGTCCCCATCCAACAACCAGCTTCTTTGCTCTTTAGTCCTACCTTCACCTCAGATCTCCTGCTGTCGTGGGAAACACGATGAAGAAGGCACAGCAGTGGTGGAGTAGATTTGCAAGGCAAGACTCTGCTTCTTGAGCAGGAGGTTTTGCACTATTTGTTCACTGTACAGAAGCTAGTAATGGATGATCATACAGAAGTCTGGAGAGTGGGATTGAAGTTGGAGATAAAGGGTTATGAGGAACAGAGAAAGGAAGTTGTGACCATATCGAGGGGTGCTAGCCAAGTGCGCGTGTCGATGTTAGCGCAGGCAAAGTTATTCTCAGACCACCATGAAGTTAGTCACACAATCAGGTCACAAGGCCTGGGCGTCCTGGGCCTGCCTTGCAGTATGGCTGCTCTCCATTGGGAGCCAAGCAGGCAAGCTCTGCTGTGATTTGCAGAGAGTGAACAGTCACAGTTGCCCATGAGCAGCCAGTTCATAGGAACCCACAGTCTTCTATCTGTGATCATTTTTCTTTCTTCATATAAATGGAAGGAAAGTCAAAGGACATATAGATCCTTTATATATTCACAAATTAGATAGCTAGATGATAGAGAGTGAATAGACAGGGAGATAGAAGAGAGAGAGAGAGAGAGGGAGAGATCCTTTAGAATTTTAGACCATCTTACCTTCTGCCTGATACATATCCATTAGAAATTTAGAATTGGGCCCTTCCTGATGGCACAGTGGGTTAAAAAGCACAGCACTATGAAGCTATCTGTAGCCATTCAGCACAAGTTTGATCGCCAACCAGGGAGCTGACCCACATGCCCCAGCAGACCTCTCTAGACCCTCCTGCTGATCTCCTCAGCAGTGTATTTCAGTCAATCTACCTGTCCTGCTCCCCACTCTGTCTCTAGAGAATCCTCTCACCCTCTACATCTCTGGCCTATACCCCTGTTCTGTATGTATAAATAAGTAAATCTTTTTTAATTTAGAATTTTTCCTTCTGGGAAATATTTATGTATCTCCTTTAGGATTTTTCTGAGGGTCCCCTGAAGATTGTTCAGTGCCTGAAAATGTCTTTTATTTTGTCCTCATTCTTGATAGATTATTATTTTCCATACATAAAAGATAGACTGGTAGTTATTTATTTACTTACCTACTTTTAGTTCTTGTGGGAAGGATCTGGACAGAAAAACTAGTTTGACGTATTCTTTATACCTGCTTCTTGTCGGGGGGCTGTCAGGGCCCCTTGACAGATGGCACAGATTGTGGTCCGTGGACCCAGAGACCAGAAGGCCTAGAAGGGTAACAAGGCACCCCCAGCACAGGGTCTCTGGTTGTGGTGAGCATGGGGTGGAGTTTGGCTAGCATGTCAGAGCGGGTCCTGGCCTGGGAAAACCCGAAGGCACAGGGGGAAGGGTGTATAGACAGAGCATGGAGGATTTGTAGAGCAGTGGAATAGTCTGTGTAATCCTACAATTATATATATCACTGTATGTTTGTTCATATTTGTAGAACATACAACACCAAGATTGAACTGGGAACTATGAACTTCGGGTGATAGTGACGGGTCAGCATAGGTTCATCAGTTGAGGGGTGTGGATGGGGGAGGCTGCATGTGTGCAGGCGTAGGGACTATGAGGAAAACCTCTGAACCTTCTAGTCTTGCAGCATACCCAAATTTGCTCTAAAAACCAGTCATTTTTTAAAAATGCTGTAAAATCCGTCAACCCTCTGAGATTGGTATTATCATCAGATTTTCCTTTGAAAGATCCTCAGGTTTGGAGATAAAAGCAGTTTTCCCAGTGTAACACAGCTAATAATGGCAGAGTTGGGATTCAAACACTTCTGCAGGACCCCAAGGTTTGTGTATCTCTGCTGGACATTGCTCTCCACTGCGCTGTCTCACCTCCCTGCTGGCTCGCGTTTGCGGTTTTATATCAGCTATTGATGAAGAAAAATATCCTGACTCAGCCTTCATCATCACACTCAGCTTTGCCTTGTCTGAAAACTCGAATAAGATATTGACTGGCTCTGGAGAAAAGTAGTCTGTGCACTTCAATAGGAATGTTTGAGCATAGACTGCAAAACTTCTCTCTCAAACTCTGCGAGGTTTTAGTGGTTTTATCATAAAGCTCCTTGTAAACAACTACCAGATTCTTCTGTGGCTTCACTTTCTCATGTCCTCTGGTCTGAGGTTATGATATCACAAAATTGCTTTTCTGGCCAGAGAGATGTGCTGATGCATAGTTCCATCTCCATCATACAGTGGCCTCAGATTCCCGTTCTTTGAGCCGCTGAAGAGATAATCTCCAACCAGAGGTGTTACATAAGTCTCAGTCCATCTGCGCTGCTAAAACAAGATACTGCAGGCTGATTGGCTTAGACATAGCAGAAATCTATTTCTCACAGTTCTGGAGCCTTGGAAATTCAAGCTGCCAGCATGGTCGTGTTCTGGTGAGGACGTTCTTCTTGGTGGAAGGACTGAGGGAGCAGTCGAGTCTCTTTTATAAGAGTTTTAATCTGGGCCCTCACTGGTGACACAAACTGTTAAAGCTGAAGCACAGCCAGGGAGGTGACCACATGGCGTGGCAGACCTCTCCTGACCCGCCTGCTGCTCCCCTCAGCAGTGTACTTTGTCAGTCGGCCTGTTCTGCTCCCCACTCCGTCTCTGGTGAAGCCTCTCACCATGCCTGCACCCCAGTTCTGTATGCATAAATAAAATAGATTTTTTTTTAAGTTTTAATCTGTTCTTGAGGGCTCCCCCTGATGACCTAAACACGTCCAGAGGCCCCACCTCCTAACACCATCAACTCCGGTAGGGGCTATGATCTCAGCACATGAATCTGGGAGGGACAAAAACATTCAGACCAGAGCAGTAAGTGCTCATCACCCATCAAAGTTAGAAGAAGTGTGTGGAGACTGAGGTTGAATGTAGCTCAGTTTTGCAGGGTAGGAGATGAAATCCACTCAGGTTTCCAAGTTTCCAGAAGTGTAAGAACATTGCCTGTAAATGTGTGGGGCATGAAATTTTGAGAACATCCTCATCCTACTTGAAAATGTCCGATTTAGTTAGTTGTTTAACAAATATGTTTAGCAGGCCCTCCCTGGTGGTGCAGTGGGTTTAAAGTGCAGGACTATGAAGCTATCCTTAGCCACAGCTGCACAAGTTTGCTCCCAGCCAGGGAGGTGACCCACATGGCGCAGCAGACCTCTCCTGTCTCGCCTGCTGCCCCCCTCAGCAGTCAGTCCACCTGTTCTGTTCCCCACTCTGTCTCTGGTGAATCCTCTCACCCCCACTCCTCCACATCTCTGGTGTGCACCCCAGTCCTGGAAGCAAAAAAAAAAAAAACCTTAAAAAAAAAAACAAATATGGTTAGCAAGTAACTAAGTTAATTCAGCAGAAGCTTCAGTTTTCCCATCTGTAAAATGAAGGTAAGAGCAAGGTCCTAAACTGGGAAGGATTAAATGAGATATGTGTGTAAAGTCCTTACTATTTGGTAGACACTAAATAGCAGCTATTATTTTTTTTAAAGATTTATTTATTTATTCATACAGAACTGGGGTCCAGGCCAGAGATGCGGAGGGTGAGAGGATTCACCAGAAACAGAGCGGGGAGCAGAACAGGCAGACCGACAAAGTACACTGCTGAGGGGAGCAGCGGGCGGGTCAGGAGAGGTCTGCCGCGCCATGTGGTCACCTCTGGGGCAGGCGGGGACCGAACTCGTGCAGAAGTGGCTTTAGTTTCTCAGTGCAGTGCATTAACCTGCTGCGCCACCAGGGAGGGCCAGCAGCTATTATTTTTAACATTTGTATGTAGACCCATTTTGACCTTAAGACAACTGGACATAGCCTATATAATTTACATTATAATATCTAAAAGTGTAATTCTCAACATGTGCAGGTCTGGGACGTCTCTTTCGGCACTCAGCCCTGTGTCTTGGCAGCGGCGGGATTTGAAGATGGCAGCGAGGGTCTTGTGGGGAGGCCTCGGACTGCTCCGCCTGGGGTGGTGTCTCCTTCCGCAGACAGGCTACGTGCATCCGGATGAGTTCTTCCAGTCCCCTGAGGTCATGGCAGGTAAAGCTCCCGAGGACGGTTCCGATAAGCCCTGTATTGAGTGGGGAGGGAGAAATATCCAGGCAGATAAGCGGCAAATCCAGGAATCTCTGTGAGGGAAGAAATTGGGCGTCGTATTTCCTTCCACATTGACCTTCCTGATGATACTAATGAAATGCCAGCCTCTCGGGTGTTTTCCTGCTTGAACCAAAAGGACAGGCCATTCAGACTGAAGCTGATTTTGACTGTTCAGTGGAAGAACGTTTGTGTTGGGTTTCCCCAGTAGTAGGGGAAGTTTTCTCAGGCTGCGGTCCAAGATAATGACGCTTTCATCTGGATGTTCCTGGGGGCGCTGAGGGAACGCAGACCCAGAATGTTCTCACTGTTAGATCAGGTAGGACCACGAGCATGGTTGCTAGGGACTTGAGGCTTTTCAGACACTTTGTGCACATGGCTTCTTCCTCCTGGTTCCAGATGGTCTGGCAATCAAGACTAAAGCCAAGAGAAAAGCTGGACATGCCTGCTCTTTTTAAGGCCATATTTTGAAAGTCATATATATATATATATATATGTTATCCCTGCTCTAAATACCTCTTCTTTGTTGGTATTATATCATCCTTATATCAACCACAGATGGTACATTTAGTTATTTTCTTCATTTTTATATTGAGGAAAGTGACACAAGGGAAGTTAAGTAGCTTGTCCAAGAGTCCAGCTTCCCACTGGGATTCCAGTGCAGGCAGTTGGGGCAATTCCGTGCTGTGAATTATTACTACACTAGGCTGAGTAGAATGTGGACACATGAATATTAAAGACTGTGGTGGTAGATGGGGAAGCGACAGCCATCAGGGTCATGAAGGTAGTTAGGATCATTTGTTGAGGTGCTGAAATCCCATGCTGAAGGGGATGATTAATAACATGAGTCACAATTAGTGTTTGCATAAGGAAAGTCACATACTTTTTGCCCATTTCCATCCCACTGGTCAGAGTATATCACACTATGGATAGGCACACCCAGTTGCAAAGAAAGCTGGGAATATTATCTTTATACCTGACCAGATGCGCATATAAAGAGACCAAGGAAGGAGGGAACATGACAGGTCCAGTCTTCTTTCATACACCTTTTTTTTTTTTTAAGATTTATTTATCCGTACAGAGCTGGGGTGCAGGCCAGAGGTGCAGGGGTGGTGAGAGGATTCACCAGAGATAGAGTGGGGAGCAGAACAGACAGATCCACGAAGTACACTGCTAAGGGGAGCAGCGGGCACGTCAGGAGAGGTCTTGCCACGCCATGTGGTCACCTCCAGGGCCGGCGGGGATCAAACTCATGCTGAAGTGGCTCCAGCCTCTCAGTGCTGTGCTTTAACCCTCTGCGCCACCAGGGAGGGCCCACCTCTTTTTTTTTTTTAACCTGACTCCATAAGAAGAGGCCATGTTGATCTGGTCTTAAATATTTTCCCTTTTGCCTTCAACATGACCAAAATCCTTGAGGAATAAAGTAGGACAAGCAAAGAGCCCTAGAGAACTAGTAGTGTTTTCAGGCCTGAGGTGTTCGGAGTTTTAGAGCTGAGAAGCAGAAATTCAAAGGCTGTTCCCTTCCTCCTGCCCTCCAGAGCTCTGGGACTCTGGGGCTTATGGTCACAGACCAGCTCCAGGCAGCAAGTTGTTTTTTCTCTAATGTACTGTTTGGTTACATTATTTTTATGTAATAAGAGTTTCATAGACAAAACTAAGGTCACTTATGATCATAACCCCATTGCTCGTTCCCTCCGGCATTCACAGTCTCCATCCTGGGTAACAATCATCATCACAGAGACGAGGCAGAAACGCCAACTGCAGACTTTAGAACTCAGGAGAGGAATGGGCCTCCCCCTGCCTCTCCACACACCCATCTAGGGTACTCTGACGTCTAACTGGCCAGGGGGGGTTCCTTGACCCCTCCCAGGTAGGATCCTGGAAGGAAAACATTTGCACGACCCCAGCTGACAGCTCTACCAATCAGAAGCCCTGCATTTCCTGTCTGTGCAGAGGCTCACAAGATTGAGATCAGGGTGAGAGCTGGCTGGTGCTTATCTGGAAGCTTGGATGAGAAATCTACTTCAAGTTCATTCTTGCTGCTGGCCTAGTCTACTTGAGCCATGGAACTACAGTTCCCTGTTTCCTGGCTGGGCCTCAGGAAGGAGGTTGCACTCATTCTCTTACACCACCCAGACTCCTTCCCAGCGGCTCCTCCCTCGTCAGGCCAGTGATGATGCACCCCGTGCTAGTCAAGATTAGTCAAGGTTCCGGTCTCTGATGCTTCCTCTTCTGCCACCAGCTGGAGAAAATTTGTCTGCTTTTATTTATTTATTTTTATATTTACATATATATTTTGGGGAGCATAGAAGAACTGGGGTGTAGAATAGAGAGGTACGGGTGTGAGAGGATTCACTAGAGACAGAGTGGGGAGAGAAACAGGTGGATTTACTGAAGTACACTGCCGAGGGGGGCAGCAGGCGAGGCCGGAGGGGTCTGCTGCGCCATGATGGTCAGCTCCCTGGCTGGCTGGGATGGAGCCCAGGCCTCAGCCGTGACAGTGCTGAGACTTAACCCCTCAGCCTCCATGGAGGCCCTGTGGTCAGCTTTTCCCTGTTACACTCACTGTCTTTACAGTGCCAGGGATTATTCAGAGCAGGCATTGATATACTAGGGGTTGGGAAATCTGGGGGCCACCCAAGAATCTTGTCCACCATATTTCTCTGCTCTTGAAACTGCTCCCCTCTGCCTCTCTCCACAGAGGACATCCTGGGCGTAGAGGCCGCACGACCATGGGAATTTGACCCCAGCAGCTCCTGCCGCACAGTGGTCTTCCCACTGCTGACCTCTGGCTCTGCCTTCTGGCTGCTCAGGCTCTGGGAGAAGTGGGGGCCATGGCCCGGCCCTGTGAGTGGTTATGTACTGCTGGTGGGGCCCCGACTCCTCCTCACTGCCCTCTCCTTTGCCCTGGACATGGCTGTGTACCATCTGGCCCCTCTGTGGGGAGCAGATCGCTGGAACGCCCTGGTCCTGCTGTCTGGTTCCTATGTCACCCTGGTCTTCTACACAAGGACTTTCTCCAATGCCATCGAGGGGCTGCTCTTTGCATGGTTGCTGGTACTAGTATCCCACCGTGTACTCTGGAGCCCCAGAACCCAGAGGGCCGCTCTGGGCCCACAGTGGCACAGCTGGCTTCTCGGGGGCATCGTGGCTGCTGGCTTCTTCAACCGGCCCACGTTTCTGGCCTTTGCTCTGGTCCCCCTTTTACTCTGGGGTGTTTGTGGAGCTACAAACCCTGGCTTCAAGTCACTGACCCAGGAAGCTGTGGTGCTGCTCCCAGGGGCGACCCTCACGGCAGCAGTTTTTGTGGCTGTGGACAGCTGGTATTTCTCCAGCCCCTCCAGGCCCAGTTTCCTGGTCCTAACACCTGCCAACTTCTTGCACTACAACCTGGATCCTCAAAACCTGGCGAGGCACGGCACACACATGCGGCTCACTCACCTGGTGGTCAATGGCTTCCTGCTCTTCGGGGTGCTGCATGCCCAGGCCCTGCAGGCTGCATGGCAGCAGCTGCAAGCCTGCCTCCAGGCCTTTGCACAGAAGGGCATCCTGAAGGCGCTGGGCGCCAGGGGTCTGCTGTCCAACCCCAGGATTCAGCTCCTGCTCCTCTACTTCATGCCTCTGGCCCTGCTGTCTGCCTTTAGCCACCAGGAGGCTAGGTTCCTGATCCCCCTCCTCGTCCCCCTGGTCCTGCTCTGCAGTCTGCAGACCGAGCGTGTGCCCTGCAAAGGTGTGCTGGTCCTTTTCAATGCCCTAGGTGCCCTCTTCTTTGGCTGCCTGCACCAGGGTGGCCTAGTGCCTGGCCTGGAGCACCTGAAGCACGTAGTTCATACACCTGCACTTCCAAGCATACCCACCCACTACACACTCCTCTTCACCCACACCTACATGCCTCCTCGGCACCTCCTATACCTCCATGGGCTGAGGTCGCCTGTGGAAGTGGTGGACATGGGTGGCACTGAGGACCAGGTCTTGTGCCAAGCCCTGAACAACTTCACCAGCCAACCAGCTTGCCAGGTGGCTGGGGGGCCATGGCTCTGCCGTCTCTTTGTGGTGACTCCTGGCACCACCAGGCCTGCCATGGAGAAGTGCAGGTTCCCCCTCAAGAACGAGACACTTGTGTTTCCCCACTTGACTATGGAGGACCCACCCACCCTGACCTCCTTACTGAGTAGGGCTTGGAGGGACCATCTCAGCCTTCACATCCTGGAGCTGGGAGAGAAGCCTGCCAATACAAAAGAAAAGGCATCATCCAACACTCAGCGGTAGGTGGAGGCGCCCCTCCAGGGAGGGGGAGGAGGGCTGCCCCATCCAGGCACAGGAAGTGCACAGCCTCTGGCTGCTGTGTTCTTCTGGATGAGCTGCCACGCTTCCCCCTCAGAGACCAAAGAGCAGACTAGTCACTCAAGGTTCCCAGAGCCCCTATTTCTTCTAGCCACTGTGATGTTCTAAATATGTACTGGCATCTGATGGTGGAGACAGCTTCTGCTGATGCCATTCCTGAGTGACCTCTCCCAACCCATCCAAGGAAGCCTTACCTCTTTGCTGTCATGACAACCCTTTAGCATCCTAGGTACTGACAAGCTGTAGAGCAAGCAGATAGCTCAAGTTCACAGATGTGAATCCTACTCCCTTGCTGGACTCACTGGCATGGGATCTTGAAGAAGGCCCTGATAAAGGTCAGTTTCCCAGTGTGTATGTGGATCAGGGGGTCACAGAGCCATCTGCCACCTATCGAGGCCATTCCTGGGTCTGCAGCACATCCCCTGGGGAGGTGTCTTTTCTAAAGCCTTTTAAGCACAGGAGTGGGTATGCTGGTGTGTTTAATGGCCCCTTGGTGCCTGCTGTATTCTTTTATTTGATGTTGTTATTACCAAACAAGTCATTCTGGAACTTTTCTTTGTATTCTTCTTCAGCTCCTGTCCTTGAGAAATGGTAGGTCATTTCTGCAGCTCCCCCTGTAAGGGTCATTCTGCAGATTAGAGAGGCCAGATGTCCCTCCACCCCCTTCTTCTGTGCCAGTGGAGAGCACACAGTGCTGGTCAGTATCTGGTGGCACCTGAGGACAGGGCTCTACCAAGGCTGATTTCGAGTTACTGAAACGATGTTATTAATTTCTGAGCTGGGAGGAGGGGCCAAGGACCGCCCTGGTGAGGGGGGGAGGCAGGATGCTACAGTGTCTCCCTCTGTTACACTACAGCACCCACTCAAGGCTAGTCATTGTCCTTATGGGTTTGTTTCTGCAGTGAAATCTGGATTATTTTCTATAACCTCATTACTTGGCATATCTGGCAGATGACAAGCACCAGTTTTCTTTCCAGCCAAAGGTGGCTTTTTTGCCCAATAAATAAAAACCTAGTGCACCTTGGAGAAACAATCATCTCTAGGACTCCAAACTCCTCTAGGCTTCTTGGGACTTCTGCCTCTTCTCGCCCCCACTTGAGCCCACAACCTGATTTCCCTGGAGAACTGTTGGCATACTGGCCCGTGTAGACTGAGGTGGTTCCTGAGCACTAATTTGTCCATGGAGCACTGGCACCTAGAACTGTGAGGCACTGAGAGGTGAGCATGAACTGCCCAGTAGGAGAGTGGGCCGACTACTTCCCTACTTCACTTTCTGGCAGAACATGAAGAGCTTGAAAGGTCTGCTGGGAAAGGTATGCAGTGGAGTGAAGATTTTGATCAGTCTCTTTACTAGTGAATGTGATGGCAAGCCACTGGCCACAACTACTGGAGGTTTCTCCAACACAGTGGGAGCACCCAAGTCACCTCTAGCTGGTACAGAAGGCCAGTTTTTCTCTCCGCTCCAAGTCCTACAAAAACGGACGGAACTTTGTTCTTACACATCTTTTCCGTAAAAAATGAGCAATTTCTCCCTTTTCTTGCTTTCTTTCCTTTCTACCAGGTTGCAGCTTCACTGCTTTGTGTGCTGCTTCCCTTTTTGTCTCTACCCATCTAGGAAAAGACACATCAGTTAGTGTGATTATGTTAAGGGTAGGTAGTTGGGCTGGGGACTGTTAATATCTTGCTGCTTTGATACTCAGAGATCAATGAGACAAGGTTGTGGAGTGAATAACTACCCAGGCTCAAAGGAGACTCCAGTGCTCTGGGAAGAGGGGGGATTTATCTGATGGTAGGATAGCAAAGGTATAGACACCAAACCAGGCTTTGGTCATTAGGAGAATGAGATTTCCGGCCTCAGAGAGGATTAAATTAGTAGTAGCTCTGACAGGAAGACTCATTTCTAATGGGGTGGTGGGATGTCGGATCAGATGTTGGACCACTTTAGCCTCTCTATCCCCGGGGTTGGTTTCCAGCACTCAACAGCTTCTTCCCTGTTACTATCACAAAAGTTGGGAGGATAAATTCTGTTTGGTCACCAGCTGACAAGTTTTCCTGTGCCTTTGAACTTCCTAGATTGCATGATTGTTGCCTATACCAAGGTGATCAGAAATTCACTCGGAAACCTCAAATGACAGGTTTCTCTATACACCGTATTTCCTAACTATGGGTCCAATAGCAGGGTCATGGTCTTTAGACTGTATCCAGACCCTGTTTAATCAACAGGCACGGGAATCCAACTTGTTCCACTGGTAGGCAGTAGTCCTATCTCCCACATTTGGAGTGGGGCATTGAAGATCAGGGTAAACACTGGGGAGCTATGATTAAGGACTCACACCCTACCCTTGTGAGGCCGAGAACAACTTCAGTAGTCTTTGCTTCATCATGAGCGTGTGCAATAAGCATGCACCAGCACACAACACAGTAAGTAATCAATGTTGTAAACAGTATTAAAGGGTCGAGCCACAGAAGTACCACACTCATACCCATTACTCAGCTCACACGTTTAATCAGAGGATTTTGGCAACTGCAAGGTTTGTTGTCTTTCCATCCATGCTCTCCCTGGAAATAGTGTCCCGCTTCATCAGTGCACATCAGCACCATCTATCAACAGTCTTAGTCCTATTCACAGAGGGCAGGCTCTCTTTCATGCAGTAGTTGGGTGTGTGGCTCTCTCTTTACGGCGCATAGGGCCCAGCCTATTTTTATTTCGGTCAAGCTTCGGGGGCTCTTCACAAACCGTGCCCCGTGCGATCACGGGGATCTGGCCTTGGCCCGGGCTCTGGAAGCCGAAGATCCGAGTCATATTGTAAGTCGTGCGCAATACCTGGATAACTCCTTAGCGTGGAGGCCTGTGTCGAACCCAAAAGGCACAGCAGGTGACCTCCACAGCTCCAGTCCAAGTTTAGCGGTTTCCGCCCGGGCCCCGCTGACTACGGGGCGGTGGCCCCGGCCGGTCCCGGAGGCGGCGGCGTAGCTCCTGAGTGAAGGTGTCTTTGAAGCGGGCAGCGCGGCGGGACAGGGAGCTCGCTGGCCCAGCCGCGAGGCCTCGCAGGCGACGCGCCGCGTCCTGGCCGCGCAGCTGGGCCTGCAGCAGAGCGAAGGCGGTGAGCTGCGCGGCTCGCCGGATGGGCCGCGACTCGGAAAGCCGCTCCACCAGCTGTGGGCTGTGCAGAAGGGCGGCCAGCAGCCGCCGAAGAACCATCCTCGGGGTGCCTCGGGAGCTCCCCGGAACCCGGAGTACGCCGCCCTGGGTTCTGATCGGCAAAGCCCGAGAACGGACCGCATCTGCGCCGGCGCTGCCTGGTGACGACACTGCCGCGCCCGGATTGGTGCGCACAATTCCCAAGTGTCCCCAGCCGCCATACGCTTCCGGTTCCTGTCGTGGTGGCGTCCTCGTTGTTCCCGAAGTGGCGGCGTCCTTGTCTACCACTCTGCGCTATGTCCGGTGGCCTCCTGAAGGCGCTGCGCAGCGACTCCTACGTGGAACTGAGCCAGTACCGGGACCAGCACTTCCGGGTGAGTCCAGGCCACGAGAAGGCGAGTCCCGGGGCAGAACGCCGGGGACCAGTTTGCTTTTGTCTCATTGTGTCATCCCACTTACTCCGGATTCCCTGGGTGCACTGATGCCCCGGTGTCTGCTGGGGAATGGCTACTGCAGGGCCGTTGGGGATCAGTAAAATCCCCTTCTTTCAGGGAGAGGGAGTTTGAGGCCCGCTTTCCCGTTTCCCAGCTGCCGGGGCTGTTCCCAGGCCGAGGCAGAGGAGTTCGATCGGCACTGGGTCACGTTTTCATGGGCTTTGCCTCGGGAAGATGACTTGTTGATGAGGAAAATGGAATATGTGGAAGCGCCTTCCTGACCCAATTTCCGGGGCGTTTTGTTACTTTTTGTTTTAAGTTATATCTTTGGAGCCTCCAGTCCTTAGTAAAATAGCCCCTACAGAGTTCGACGCGGAGGGTGTGAGCCCCTTGCAAAGCCTCGGAAGGGGAAGGTGGACCAGCCAACTTAGGCATGTTGAATGTCTTAATGATAATTACTGGATTTCAGGAGAATGAAATTTTAGTTCGGCCTGGCATCATAGGTTGTGTGGAGGAGGGAAGCTGCAGATATTTAAAATGGGCGCTGCAGTATCAGCAAAGGAGTGGGGTAGGGCGTTATTAACCCTGTTTATTTGCTAAGCTTGTATTGGGTTCTGTAGCTGAAGCCTTCAGCTCTGCCCCACTGGGGCAAGAGAAGACAGTGTCAGCCCCTAAAAGTTTTTAATTCTCCAGTTGGGATTGTAAATGGAAGCAAGTAGGAAGTAATCATAATCTAGAGCAGAAATGAGTGGAACGGACGAGACTGAGGATTTAGAGGATCCTTATGATTGCGAATGGGAGCAGATCATATAAGAGAGAGAGGGTAGGCAAGAATGCGTAAAATGTATTAGTAGGATAGGGAAAATGATATTTTTGAGGTCTCACTTGAAAGTCTGATCTGCAGTCCCTTGGTTCTCCCTAGAAGCAAACATAATTACCTAATGTATAGGATAGCTACATTCATGCTATAAAAAAATAATTTGGAACATACATTTCACATCTCATAGTTTTTCAATCTGTATAGTATTGTGAGTGTACATTTTTGGGAAGGCTGTATTATTTGTATTGGTGTGTATGATAATTTTATCATTTTCCTTTTGATGTGCGATTAGGTAGTTTTTTTTCCCCCTTCTGTCGTTGAATATGATGACATGAGACCTATTACTCTAAACACTGAACTGCAAAGCATTCAGAGGCCAGTGTGTGATGTTAGAGCCCTACTGGGTCAGAAGGGCCTGAGAGCAGATGAACTCAGTAGACATGTTTAATCAACATTTGTCTTCCCCAGTTGGAGTCCAGAAGAGGAGGTCCAGGGTCATGTAGCCTTTGATGAGCCAGGTGTATTGGCTCAACTCTGGTTATATTCCTGTCTTTGCTTTCACCCTGTCTTCTAAATTAGGAACCCCTTCACAAAGTGAGGTCTCTTGTTTTTATTATTTATTTGTTCATTTATGCATGCATGCATACAAGAACTGAGATATAGGCCAGACATGTGGAAGATAAGAGGATTCACGAGAGTGGGGAACAGAACAGGCAGATTGACTGAAATACACTGCTGAGGGGAGCAGCGGGCAGGTCAGGAGAGGTCTGCTGCGCCATGTGGGTCACCTCCCTGGTGGGAAATCAAACTTTTGCTGCAGTGCTGCAGATAGCTTCATAGTGCTGTGCATTTAACCCTTTGCACCACCAGGGAGGGCTCAAGATCTCGTTTTTTTAGTGATCATGTACTTTGTTAAAGTACATTTTTTATTTTATAATTTTATTTATATATACACACACACACACAAAACATCACTCTTCATTTTGTACATTTTTTCATCTCGGTTGTACTCCCCATGGATTTCCCACCACCAAGTCACCCGTGTGCCATCGCCATAGTCTTTTGTGATCTTCCCACCCATTTTGACCGTTTCCCTCTCCATCCCCGTAGAATGTATGTGGTTCATAGTTTGTTGATTTTTGTTTTTACTTTATTATAATTGCTTTTGTGTATGTGTGTGATCAGTGCATTTTCTCTTAAAACTCAGAAAAAAATGAGTTTGTAAGCCATCTAAGCAGTTGTTTTGAACATTCTCTTTGCGAGTATTACAATGAGTATCTTTCTGTGAAAATCCAGGTCTTTTTTTACTGTAAATTAAAAAAGAGGCCATCCTAATGTACTTAGTCAAGGTTAAGGAATTAAATGTGGGCTATTTGAAAAGGATCCTGTGCTGAGGGTAGAGTGTGCAAGGGAACGATATCCCACTTGTGTGACGGTATGGTGCAGGAGAAAAAGGGCTACCAGTGAAGTAACTTTCAAACCTTAACCCTATACTCAAAGCATTCTGCACATTGTACCCCGCGTCCTGTGTTCTTCCTGGCAAGGAATTTGTGCTGAATTGGGATGATAGAAGCTGATCCCCAAGTCAGAATTAATGAAAGGTTTTCCTCTACTTAGTAATAAATACTGTTTAAGCAGGACTCAGATTGTATTGCTCAATATTTTCTGTTTGAAATTCTAGGGTGACAATGAAGAACAGGAAAAATTACTAAAGAAAAGCTGTACATTGTATGTTGGAAATCTTTCCTTTTATACAACTGAAGAACAAATCTATGAACTCTTCAGCAAAAGTGGTGACATAAAGAAAATCATTATGGGCCTGGATAAAATTAAGAAGACAGCATGTGGGTTCTGCTTTGTGGAGTATCCTTTTGTGTCATGTCGCTGTTGGATGAGGGAGGGGCAGAGTGGCGGTCATGTGTTTGAAAACGTGTGTGGGTATTTGCTGATTAGCATTCCAGCACTTGTATCTCTCCTTTCACCTACCACCTACCTTCTTTCCAGCGTTTCTGGCCACATTCTTAGGTTGTTATCATTGATAATTTATATCCCATTCTGAAATCCATTCTTTTGTTTCAAGTTGATTCTTTAAGAATCATGATCTTTCAAGAATATATGCTCTTGGTTTTAAGGGAGTGAAAGGAGTTTGGTGAAAATTGTCACACCATTCTAAGGCCACAGGCAAATAGTTATCGGTCTCTCTAGTATCTTCAGAAGTAACCATGTAGATGTGTGGAAGTATGCACCATGCACCTTTAATTTTTACCAATTTTAAAGATTGCTCTGTCAATTTTTGTACCTGTACCTCTTTCTAAAATGATTATAGATTGCATTATGTAGATGTATGCAGTTTGATTTTATATGTCAAAATTTGTCATCATTTGTTTTCTCTCAAGACTGAATACTGTGCTGCCTGGACTTACACTTTGGTGTGTTTTTGATTGTCTTTATTTTACTAATATTTCCATTTTTGGTCATTTTAGTTTATATTCTGAGAAATTCCTAGACCTGAGCAAACATATCGTTTGAATTTTTTCCCTATGCCCTGCATTATATTTCTTTTGGTTGTATTTATGCTATAAATTTTCCTTAAATTGCTGGAGATGATTGGCCTTTCTACATTAGGGAAAGTAAGTTGGCTTTGTGGACCCCAGCAGAGCTTCTTTCAAGTTGTTGTTTTGTCCTTGGTATTTGTGGATTTCCGTAATGCCAGAATGAAAAGGGATTTTATTTTGATTGGCTAATGTCAAAAATAATTGCCCTAGTTCTTCCAGACAGTTCATTCAGAACCCTATCATTTTGTTTGCATTTGCCTAGAATTAAATGCCTTCTTGCTAGCAGATCTTTGCACAGAGCTCTTTAATATAAATGCTACTTGCAGCCTCAGTTACTCATTGAGTTAAGAGCCTCCTGAATTTGCCATCTCCTTTAAGCTCCATCAAGAATATTTTATACTTTTCTTCATCCATCTTGTTATTGTTGACTGTCTAACCTGCTGATGCTCTCTTCTGTTCTTATGTTTCTTTTCTGTTGTTTTAATCCAGGTCTTGAGAAGGAAAGGAGAGAATTGTGCTCACTCTTATCTACTTCAGTTTTTTCCCTACTTTAGATTTTGCTCTGCAAGCTTCTTCCATTCTCCCATCAAGCACAAGGGACCAGACTGCCTAAGTTTTACTTTTGCCTCAGTTAGTAGTGGCATAAACTTGTTCACAGGGGACAAGGAAGCAATAAAAAAAAAAAATGTTAAACTCACCTCATGGGTAATAATCATTGGTGTCTGAAAATTGGAGTGTTTTGCGTTTCTTTTATAAACCAAAAAGAAAAAAACATGGCAAATACCTGAGAGGCTGTCACAGACAACCTTTTCTTTTCCTTCTCAGTTTGCTTTCCTATTGAGAGCTTAATTTCATTCATTCTGCAAAAAATTGTTGAAGGCCTACAGTGTGCTAGGCATTGTCTTAGATGTTGGACACTGGAGTTTCAGCAAATGTTTCTCTGTATAATTAAAAACTAGGAAATGGTCTAGATTAGCATTTCCTAAAGCCAGCTAATAAATGTAATTACTTATTTAGGTTTCTTCTTAAATACCATCCCAAAGACAGATGAAAAAAAAAAAA